AATTAAATCATTTTTTACCGGCAAAACTCATGGGTGAACATATTGAGTCAGCCAATTTTTTCGCATTTAACTGAAAATTGAAGTGATCTGTTGATCTGAACAGAGAATTTTTCATTGAAAATAACTGCATTTGCTGGTTAATAAGCAAAAGTTACACCAGGAAAATGAAGTTTCATGAAAAAATCTGGTTTTATTATTGAAATAAAGGCGATCGAAGCTTCAACTTTGACCTCAATTTTATCGAAAACTGGCGACTCAAACAAATTTTCAATAGTACTGATAGACTCAGTTTTTATACCCCTAAAAACTCACCAAGTCCCAACTCTTAACGGTGAAATCAAAGTTTTTGGACATTGTCCTTCAATTTCATATCGTTATGGTAGCTTTTTGTATTAATTCGAAAAGAGACATTATCGTGCTTCTATCTATTCATTGAAAGAAATGTCCAACAGCATACGTCTGTTGCAACCTAGGCAGCCAAAAAATTCAACAAAAAAGCTATAATGTGTTCAATTAAATAACGATTCTCGATACAAATGCTAACAAAATGGTATTGAATTGAATTTATTCAGTTTGAGCTTGATCTTTGTACACGAATTTCTTAATTAAAATTGATAATTTACTTGCCATAGCTGTAACAATTAGTAGCGAGATTTCTTTAAAGTTGTAAAAGGGTTTGACTCTCTGTTTGTTTTAAAGCTTAAATGTGGCGAGTTTACAGGAAACCGAAGGATATGTAAACCCATTTTTCGAGTAAAGAGTTAGGGGTAAAATATGTTGTCTCAACTGCACTAAATTTTATTTTATTTTTCATCATTGACAATGGTTTTTCATCAATAATTTGAGTCTTTAAATGTAAATTGGATTTATTGCATTCAGTGAAAAGACAATTTACGATCAGTCATGATCGGGGCTAAGTTTTTTTTCATCACATTCACCACTTTATCCACCACTTTTTACCGATTTTCACCGTATTGTCCATCACTCAATCTAACACATCCACCACATCCACCAAATCAAACATCACTTTTTGAAGAGACCTTTCTCAACAAAATTGTTCAACACTTTCATCCATCACTTTAGAGGGACTTTTTCCACCACTTTTTCCACCACAGGGAATTTTTATAAGATCATCCACCACCTAAACCACCGAATTTTTGACCACTTTTGGGATTTGTTGGCGATTAATGGTGGATGTGTTAGATGTTGTAAAATGGTCAAAAAATTTGACAATTTAGGTGGTGGATAATCTTATGAAAATTTGTTTGAAAATTTGGTGGAAAAGCCTTTCTAAACTGGACAATTTTGTTGAGAAAATTCTCTTTAAAAAGTTATGATGTTTGATCGAATTGATTTGAAGGACGTGATAGATTGGGCGGTGGCAAAAAACTGGAAAAACGTGGTGTATAAAAAGCTGGAATTTGAGTCGTCAAATATGGATTGAATTTATTGTATTCAGTGGGACCGGCTTTTTTTAACCACATTCATCACTTTATCCACCACTTTTTTACCGATTTTCACCGTATTGTCCATCACTCAATCTAACACATCCACCACATCCACCAAATCAAACATCATTTTTTAAAGAGACTTTTCTCAACAAAATTGTTCACCACTTTCAGCCACCACATTTTTTCACCACAATATCAAACAATTTTTATTTTAAACAAGATTATCCACCACTCAAACCATCGAAACTTTGATTAATTTTGTGATATGATGGCGATTAATAGTGGATGTGTTAAAAGGAGTAAAAGTGGGCATTAAGTATGATTTCGGTGGTGGATAATCTTAAAAATTGTTTGCAAATATGGTGCAAAAAGCTGCTCTAAATTGGTGGATGAAAGTGGATGAAAATCTGGTGGACAATTTTGTTGAGAAAAGTCTCATCAAAAAGTGATGAAGTTTGAATTAGTGGATGTGGTGGATGTGTGAGGTTGAGTGGTACAATACGGTAAAAAAATGTTGAAAAAAGTGATGCAAAATATGGTGTAAAAGGTGGAAAGTATGGTGAAACGCCATGCATAAGTGGTGGATAGAAGTGAAGGCTAATTTTTTGCGAAAAATTTCTTTAAAAAGTGATGAAGTTTGAATCAGTGGATGTGGTGGATATGTTGGATTGAGTGCTAACAATACGGTAGAAAAGTGTTGAAAAAGTGATGCAAAATCTGGTGTAAAAGGTGGAAAGTATGGTGAAAAAGCCATGCTAAAGTGGTGAATGAAAGTGATGGCCAATTTATTGAGAAAAATTTCTTTAAAAAGTGATGATGTTTGAATCAGTGGATGTGGTGGATATGTTGGATTGAGTGCTAACAATACGGTAGAAAAGTGTTGAAAAAGTGATGCAAAATCTGGTGTAAAAGGTGGAAAGTATGGTGAAAAAGCCATGCTAAAGTGGTGAATGAAAGTGATGGCCAATTTATTGAGAAAAATTTCTTTAAAAAGTGATGATGTTTGATTTGGTGGATGTGGTGTATGTTTACGATTAAGGCGTGTACAGTACGGTAAAATAGTGGGGAAAAACTCTTCTGATCCAAGGTGTTTGATGGAATCTCTTAAAAGGTCAAAACTTAAGCTTTCTAGAAACTCAGATTTCTAAGAAAATCCTGTTTAAGGTGGCAGTGAAAAAAAAGATACTTTAGAAGACAGCAAATATTTTTTAATTTGATAAAGTTACTGTTTACTGTTTAATGATTTATATGAGTCTCAACTTAGGAAGTAGGAATAGGAACTAAGAATGAAAACTCATGTTCAGGTGGTCTGAAAAGCAACACTATTCAGATGATGTATGATGAATAAGTTTCTTAACTTTGAATTTCGAGTTGAAAGTTGTAATTTGATAAACTTTCGGTACAATAAGAGTTAGAGTTATTAAACGAACTAGCACGCTTCGTGTAATAAAAGAATTCCTCTTTTCGAAGGTGTTTGATGAAATCCCTTTGAAAGTGTAAACTTTCTAGGAAACTCAGATTTCAAAGAAAATCCTGTTCAGCGTGGCAGTGAAAAAAGTGTTCAAAAGCATTGAGAAAACAAATATTTTTTTATTTAATGAGTTTTCTGTTTACTGTTTGATGATTAAATGTGTCTCAACTTTGAATTTCGAGTTAAGAGTTGCG